CCCCAAAACCCCAAAACCCCATATCTGAGAAATACTTGAAATTCAACATTTCTAGATTGAATAGATAAACAATTATATCTAATAGTTTATTTATATTTGTCGTAATAAAAGTAAAGTATATATATGAACAGTACTAATAGTACAACCCATTCAGTTGAATCAGCTGAAGCCGAAGTTGAATGGTGGAGGATCTTAATCATCATTGTCCTGTCACTACTGACTGGCTTGTTTTCAGGATTGAACTTAGGTATCATCGGCCTTGATCCAAATTACTTGGAACTACTTACTTTAGGGCCTTTTGAAACGAAAGAAGATGAGAGAGATGCAGCTTATGCAAAAAAAATCATACCTCTCCGTAAAAGAGGAAACTTACTATTGTGTACCATTATTTTGGGGAATGTGTCAGTAGGATCAATCTTGTCAATTTTCATGGCCGAATTAACCAGTGGACTCATTGGAGTAATCATTTCAACTGCGATTATAATGATCTTTGGAGAAATTCTTCCATAGTCAGTCTGTTCAAGACATGCTCTAGTAATTGGAGCCTATACTACTTGGATTTTATGGATATTTGTGATACTCTTATTCCCTATCGCATTCCCTATTTCTGCGATACTAGATAAAATTCTTGGATAAGAAGATGGGGAGCAATATAACAAAAGTAAAATGAAGAGACTTTTTGAAATGTATGAAAAAGAAAAACTTTTAGATCCATCTGAGAGAAAAATTCTATCAGCTGCTTTGGAGCTATAGGAAAAGACAGCAGAGTCTGTAATGACAAATCTTGAAGAGACATTTATGCTTGATATTGATTCGATCTTAGATAAAGATTTGCTAAGACATATATATACCAAAGGTTTTAGTAGAATACCAATTTACTAGGGTCACAGAGAAAAAATTGTAGGCATTTTGATGGCAAGAGACCTAATTCTTATCAATCCTGATAAATAAAGGATCTCAATTCGCTAACTATCAAGCATTCTAGTGAGGAACGTTATATAGATAGATCACGCCACTAGATTAGACCCGATTCTTACATACTTCAAGAAAGGGCAATCACATTTGGGTATCATCACCAAGGTAGAATAATATGAAGATAGGGATCCATAGATCAAAATGATAGGTATAATAACACTTGAGGACATCATCAAGGAGCTGTTATAAAATGAGAAAGATGATGGCATAAACAAGAAATAGCTTACTTAAGGCTATAAACAAACTGGAGAAAAGTTATAGCATAAAGAGAAACTAGTTTTACTGTTTAGTGGTTCTCAAGCAGGCAAAGAATTGAGTTCAGAGGAGCTGCTTGCAGTTTGTGAATTTCTTTAAAAGCAAGTCAAGGCTTTCAACACAACCAGACTCCGCAAGAAGGTTATGATTGAGCTCATAAAGAATAGTTAGGTCTAAGAGATCTATTCAAATTATGATGCAAACTAATAACGAAATTTTGGTTTGAAAGAATCTTTTTGTCAGGGAAAGGAGATTAAAATAACAAGCAAGTAAAATAAGATAGAGGATAAAATTAAAGCATATACTTAAAAAAATATGCAAAACTACTATAATACTAATGTCTCACCGAGAAGAACCTTCGCCTTTGACGATAAACCTTCAGAAAGCAATCATATTAGATCCAGTGATATAAAACTTAGATTAACTGATGGCACAGCAATCAAAAACGGAAGTAATGATAATGATCAATTAATCTCCTAAGATCTGTAGCAAGATGATAGTTAATTCCTTTATAGAAGAGGTGTTGCTTCTGAAGATTTTATTCTACTTTTATAAGGAAAAGTTCAAGTCTAGAGTGGGTTAGATCAATTTTAGGTTACACTCAGCACGTTCAACTACTTTGGATTAGATGCTCTGATCACTGATAATTACATCCCAGATTACACTGCAAGAGTATCTAAGTATGCTAGAATAATACGGATTAGCAGGATCAACTACAGGAAAGCAATATCAGACGTTAAAAATTTCCTTAAATGATTTTGAAAAAAAACATCAACTAAGTACTCATTAATAATCAATTAATTTTTATTTAAAGAAATTTAATAAAGATAAATTCATTTCAAAATGCTCAGGGGTTTTGGGGTTTTGGGGTTTTGGGG